CTTCAGGGGAGTTCTGAAGAAGTGCCTCAAGGCATATTTGGTAGTACTTGTAGTCCTTTTCCACCTCGCGACTTTCCACATCGAACACGTAGATCAGCACTTCAACATTGCGGAAGATCTGGTCACGTTGCGACGTAAAGTAATTTTCCATGAACGCCTCCTGTCCACCACAGTCCCATATGTTGAGCACCAGGTTGCCCAGAAAACGAACGTGGGCGTGTTCGACGTCCACTAAATTACCGAAGGTCAACTGAATATTCCTATCACACGTATAATCAAATTATTAATACATATTATCATACATACGGTAGTACAGTGTCTTCTCAAACCAATAGTAGTATTGTGCACTTTAAAGAAGCGTACGTTTAAAGAAAATGTTTTTCGTTTATGTCTAAACTATGGAGAAGCGCATACGCCGCGATTACTAAAACCATTAATACCTGTAAAATCACCCTCGAAACGGTCAACTGATGAGGTACTTGTAAATGTGGCCAGCAATACTCGTCATAGCTTTTAAGCAAAATGTGCTTAGGAAAAAAACAAACGGAATACCTACTGCGGAAAAAAGGCTCTGGAGGGAAAGGGGCATCATGTCAGCATTAATCATATGACAAAGTCATACAATAAGTCAGCGCCTACATCATGGCCAAAGGAAGATGAATCAAGGCAAGAAGAAAGGGAAGATCAAAGCGACAATAACAGAAGGAAATGGGGCAAAAATAAAACCGTATGCATTGCTTAGACAGGTAAAATTTGAGACGGATAATCTGACATAATAACGCTGTCCAGGCTAACATTCATGCCATAAACCCTGTGAGGGGAGAATGACATTTGTTACGTTACGCTTGAACCAGCTCAGGTGTAAAAACTCAAAACTGATAAGGAAGCAGTAAAGACAATAAAATGCGGATCACTATCAACGAAGCAGATCTACTATCAGATCAATGGCGCATAACAGCAAAATCCGTGGTGACGCCCAGAGACATGACGATCCGTGGAGGCAAAAAAGCCATCAATTCTTCCTTGTCTCGGGTTCTAACGTAGCCGCGTCTCTTTGGGACATGGGAGATTAAAACAATTTTCTGTAAGAACATGCCATTTATAGCTCCCCCGCTCAAAAAACGGCATTAGGAGAGAGAACTTCTGCGAGTTCTGTAGAGAAGGGAGGGGTAAATTCATCAACCGACTATGATCTATTGAAAACGGACTTTCTGTGCAATTCTGAAAGAAACTGCACTACGCAAATTTGATAAGGAAACATTAAAACCTCGAACTTCGAAATGTAAGCACAATAATTAAGTGCATTTGTACCTTTAAAATCATCCTTAAATATCTTCAAACAGATAATTCACTTAAACAACGTAATCAAATTCTTAGT